ATTGTCTTTACTCTTCAGGAAGATCCCTGGTATGGAGTAGTTGATATGAACATTAACACAAAACGCACACAAAAGTTCACTCTTCTGGATGTTGTCAATAAGAAAATTAAGTATATTCATGGGGGAAATGAAAGGCATGAAGATCAAATCAGGCTGGAGGTGGTCGCTCACAGTTACAACTACCTTCCAGAATGTCTAAAAAGTCATCACAAGTATGTCCTCCCAGTTGAAATTCTTCCCGTCAATGATATACCACAACTTAATGCAGGAGAAATCATCATCACAGAAAATGGCCGGACACGTTTGAGTCCCAGCCTTATCAAAATCATGGATTCTGACACCCGTTGTGATGAATTAGTAGTAACTGTAACCTCAGAGCCTTCCATGGAAGTTGGCTACTTAGAAAATGGTCAGCAGCCAGGGAGAAGCATCTCAGAGTTCACTTGCAGGGAGCTGAAGGATGGAAATATCTATTTTGTACACCGAAGGGGTAGGGCTGCTGAAATTATCTTGGAAGTGTCTGATGGACAGTCAGTGAGCCATTCAACTACTTTAAAGTTGTCTGTGACACAGCCACATATAACTATTGTCACCAACACTGGCCTTCTACTGCCTCAAGGAAGCAACGCATCCATAAGTATTCACAATCTGGACGTCCTCGCTCATCCTCCTAATGGAGATAGTATGTACAACATCACACAACCTCTGAACTTTGGAGAAGTGCAGATTCTCACACATGATGGAATATACAAGCAGGTTACAACTTTCCATCAATCTGATCTGGATCAAAACCGCCTTCGATACATCAGCACAAACTCAAGTGACCAGGAAGATGTTGTGGTGGAGCGCATTCAGTTCGACACCCACCTGGGGCAGTTCTCCCTTTGGAACAACACCTTCTTGGTAAAGATAATCCCTGCACAAGTGAAAGTTTCTAACCTTATTCCGCTGGAGATGGAGGCTGGTGAAGAGCAAACAATTGGATTCACAGAGCTTCAGGTCCAAGTAAAAGGGAAGAATCCAGATCCACAAACTGTAAAATATATCCTTGTCAAGCCTCCAACACTGGGTAGTCTCCAGCTGCTAGACAAAGAACTTGCTGAGGGTGATATGTTCACCCAGAAGGACATTTTGGACAATACTGTTAGCTACAGGGCTCAGGTGCAAAGAGCTGTGGATAGTGTAGACCAGTTTAAGTTCAGAGTTTTTGCTGATGATCAGTACTCTCCTCTGTACACCTTCCCAATTACCATCCTTGCCAATGCAGATGCTCCTGTTTTGACCAATGAGAGACTGGTTGTCTTCGAGGGTGGTGAGCATACTGTGAACAAAGACTATCTCTGGATGCAGTCACCGATTTCAACCAATTTTGTTTACCGGGTCACACAAGGGCCAAAGTACGGCCGACTGATAAGAGACTCTCCTCCCGGGCAGCCTAGGTTTGAGGGGGCAATTCAACTTTTCAGTAATGAAGACCTCCAACTAGAAAGGCTCATTTACAAGCATGATGGCTCCAAAACAAGCAGTGATGAGTTTCATTTCTCAGCATTTGATCAAGGAGCAGAAAATTCAGACAATCCGGAGACACTGAGTGGTGTTTTCAGGATATCAATCCAAACTAAGAATGAGCACGTTCCTGTGAGAGTTGTGGATAAAGTGTTCAACGTTGTCCGCCACGGTCAGCGTCTGCTAACAACTGATGTCATCCAGTTTCAGGATGAAGACTTGGATTTAAATGACACCCAAGTTGTTTATGCTCGTGAGGGAATCCTTTCAGGCAATATCGTCTCAACATCTAAACCATCACAGCCTCTTTTCCGTTTCACACAAGCCGACCTGCGAGACAAAAAGGTCCTCTTCATTCACCATGGAGCAGATCAGGAACGCTTCTCACTGCAGGTGTTAAATGGATTCCATAAGACCACAGCACTGCTTCAGATCCAGGCAGGTGAGCCCTATCTGCAGGTGGTGAACAACACAATCATTGTTATCGACCATGGAAGCACTAAGACCCTTAACACCACCCTTCTGAGTGCTGCCTCCAACATGGACATTAGAGAAGACAGTGAAATCAGGTTCCAGATTACATCACCCCCCAGAGATGGCAGGATTATTGTGAGTGGGATTGAGGCGTCAGTATTCACCCAGGAGGACCTGAAAAAAGGGGTTGTGTCATATATGCATAATTATGAGAGCCTGAGGTCCAAGGACTCCTTCAGCTTCGTTGTCCAAGCAAAAGGACATTCAGAAGAGGGTACATTCAGGATTAAAATATTCAAGCAAGGTTACCTCTCTGAGCCTGAGGTGATAAACAATGAGGTTATTATTTCCTATGAGGGAGAGCACACCATAATCAACGAGGATTATATCAAGGTAGGATTTACTGACTATGAATTTACAGTATGCTGATTTTGAATATGATGTAGTGTTACAGTTAACAAACCTATAATTTAGATTAATTTGCTTGCTGACATTTAATATGTGCAAGACACATTTGTTTTTATCCAGCTAGGCAAAGTTTTATTTTAATTTGGCAGTGATCATATGATTTTTCCATGACTCATTCAAACTGACTTGATTTGTAACCTTGTCTCTAATTTACATTAGAACCACATGAAAGTAACGCTAAATATGACTGTGCCGTCATTGCTTTTAATCTAGTTTATGTACTAAATTACAGTCTAAGTGTATAAAACAGAGCAGTAAGTATTCCCAGAGGAGCTTCCTGAACCCAACTGTAATCTATAAGAGGGGTGTGCCGGCACCTCATCTTGAAAGCAGTTAATGATGTTTCAGTTATGGGTCCATTCATAACACATTCGCTCTATATACAGCATACTGTATCTTAAAATAATGAGCAACATTTCTAAAAGCAAAATATTGTTTTCCTTTTAAACTATAACTTCACAGTAGTGATCACACTTTAAATCTACTGTATTGACTGGAGAAGAACCTGGACACCTGGTACACAAACTACCCAAAACATGTAATGAACAAAACCTTGACAGAAGATGTCAAATGTTGACTTGACTTTTGGGAGCTTTTCGAGCATATGTCCTTCCTAAGAAATACAAAGTGTTATGATCTTTTGAAATATTGTCAAATAAAGGCAAGAATGCTAAACACTCCAAGGCTCCAGGCCTGAGAGAGCGTATTCAAACTTGTTAAAGAGGGATGACCATAAACCTACCTTTGTGTGCATCTGGTACATGGCTCTACATGCTACAAACAGTTTTTATGTTTCTCTTCACCGTACTGTCTAACACTGAGTCCAAAATTGGCATTATACAGTGCACTATAGCAGGACCATTAGGTTTCCACCTATGTGCTATATTTAACAGTGCAATATTTTAATACACAACAAATCTGTAGTGACATTAGTGGATCATATGCGTGTGTTTTAACAGGACGCGATACAAGGCCTCTTACTCCAGGTGTCAGAGTAGCCAACAACTTTAAAACAATACTGCCAATTTAAAAAAAAAAATGTATTAGTACATTTGTTTTATCTGGCAGCTGTTGCTGGAGAAGTTGTAAAACCGCTTGCTATTTTTGTCAGCTGTGGGTAGTTTGACTATTTTCACTGTGTGTTGCACTGGAGACTGACGACATCTTTTCTAACCACACTTCAAAAATTAAGCAATAAAAGTATTGCTGCCACTCAGTAAAGCACGCATCTGAAATCATGCATTTGATTGTTTAATGTCACTGAATGATTTAATGTTCTTTTATGCACTGAGAAAACCCTTGTAGTTCTAAATCTAAATTAACCACTTAAAAAAAAATCATTGGATTATATGAAAAATGCATTCATCCATAAAGCAGTAAACAAGGCTGTTTAACTTCCCTCATGAAAACATTCAATTCTGGAGATACATGGTTTTCACAGTACTGTATGTATGCTGTCATTTAATCAACAATTAATTGCTCCAAAAATTCAACAATTTAATTACATAAACAAAACACGTTTCAAATGAGTGTGTGGTACACTATTGTGCACAGTAATATTTGTCAAGCACATTGCTGTTTATTATACTTCTGCAAATGTTTCAGTCTATAAAACATGCTGATATGTTAAAAAGTTAAATAATAAATTAAACCAGTACCTTTTGTCTTAACTGATGTACTCTACCTTTGCCTTCTAGGTTGAGCATGCTGATATTCTGCCTACAGAAATGGTTTTCACCATTAAAGATCCTCCTAAGTTTGGGCACGTGGTCAGGCTGACAAACAGTTCAGACGACAGTGCCTCTCCTGTCCTCAACTTCACGCAGGATGACATTGATCAGGGCCTCATTCTCTATGTGTCTGCATTCATCCAGGTTTACCATCATTTATTCTGATGTAATAAATCAGATGTAGCAGTGTGATCCCTTTCATAGCCACACAGAGTAAAATCAATCAGACAAAGCCACAACTTCAGCCTCTGGTAGCTCTGAGATACAAGGTTTATTTTTAGTATGAATAACTTATTTGAACATCCATCTCTTTCAGGGCAGTGATGCCTTCACAGTGGATGTCGGTAATGGTTTTACCACATTGGAGGACCTGCAGATCTCTCTGAACATTGTCCCCCGGTTCATCCCCGTACAAACCTTCAACTTTACAGTAAAGGAAGGCCTCAACAGGGCAATTAATGTGGAGATTATAAACATCTCGCATCCCTTCTACAGCTCAGCAAACATAGACTTTTCTGTGGACGAGCCGCCACAGCACGGGGACATCCGCTACCTGGATGGAGACCAACTTACTTATTTCACTTGGGAAGAGGTATGTAGTGACATGATAGAAAACATATAGAAATTACAAATTCACTTGTTGCAACAAACAATATTGTCAAAAACCTCAAAACAATCACATTTTCTGCCTCTTCATTCAAATATTGCACTACTGCCTTTTTCTCCTGGGTACTGTATCTATGCTGGTGTTGCTGGTGGCTAATAAACCAGCTCTTCTCTTTTACAGTAAACACTTTATTTCCATCACATGCACTACACCAAAGCCTGTACTCCCATTAAATTTGCACATTTTCCAGGAATGTTTGATATAAATGCATTAGCATATAGAGGAGTACCTGAAAAAATATGGTTATAAATTCTTAAAGCTGCAATAATTGATTTTGTTACCATTACAAAGCAGAAACAAACTGCAAACACAGCGCTGGCATATCATCAATGTTAAGTCGATGTTGTGAAAACTTCACCTCTCACAAACAAGTAGTGACGTGATCCACTCTTCTTATAAAATACTGATTATAGCCACTCTGAGGATTATGTTTTCCTTCTGGGTTTCCCTTGTTGTCTCCAAAGACCTTCCACTCAAATGTATGACAGTTGTTTTGTCCCGTCTGCTTATTAGCACATAGATGCAACGTAAAACAAAACATGAGACTTTTTGTTTACTGAATGCACCAAATAGTTAGCATAAGTGTATCACGTGCTACTGCCAAATCCACTAATCTAACATTTTAAGGATTAAATATATTTGATTATAATTTCTTCAAGCAAGAATGACCATACTTGGCACCTGAATTTCACTCTAGTATTATCTTGTCAGCTCCTAGGTGCATACAGTCTCCATCTTACAACTAGATCTTAGAGGTTGTTCAAGAAGATTACCACGGCAAGGCGTCACTATGAAACTTCTTCTACCAGACACAGAGACAAGGTAGAATATGGGAGATGCTGCAGCACAGTTATCTGGTCTCATTCTTTGTGGTTGAGAGGCCTCAGCTTTAGGAACATATTAAAAATGCATAAGTAGTTACTTGTGGAAAAGCCACATTCTGAATAAACCACAGAGTTTAGAGGACCTAGTTAGACACATATCTTATAGCCCCTACATCTATCTCTGTTCAGGCTGTACTCTTCTCTTTGCTGAACCACTGTGGAAAAGCTGACTATGCTTTTGGACTGCCTCAAGCCAAAATAAACTGGCCTAGTATATTCCTATAATAATGTGTAAGAGTATACATACCTCCCAGTTTTCTACTGCCAGACTAAATCATACTGTGTTCCAAAGATCCCACTGCACAACTCGAATGGGTCTAATGCATAGAGTTTATTACGTTGGAGGCAAGGACGCAAAAATGAACATAGATATAATCATCTACCACT